TAGTCATAACTAGAAAGAAAGCTCAGAAAACTACATTTGCCCAGAAGGAAGCTACACACTCAGACTAAAACCTATTCACAGAAAATGCTGAGCAAAGAATTTTCACTACTGAACATATTTCACTAGTGGATATGAAAGAAAGGCTTCCATAGCCTAACAAATTTTCCTTTGCATTCACTATTGAGAAAGCATATCTCTCTGAGATACTAGAGATGCCAGCTACCTTTGACCACATGTTAAGTTTAAAAATAATTTGTCTTGTGCTTTTTGTCATTTACCCCAGATGGGACACTCCTAGGTTAGGAAACTGCATAAGCATCCAGAAAAGTACCTCATTATTTTCTTCAATGTCTTTGCTTAACTTTTGCAATGACACCTGTTCAATAAAAATGACATTTTTTAGGGTGTGGGCATACTGGAATTACTGTTAATTACACAGATCACTTTGTCTTGTAATTCCCTTATGGTCCCCATCACTTGCCTCTGTCAGCATTGCCCCTCAATATATACTTAAAATTGTAGGCATTACAAGGCAGATGCTATCTTGACGTTTTGAGTTTGCAAGCACCTTAAAAAAAAGGGATTCTAATCCAAACCTGGGGCTCCAACACCTTGTGAAAATACAAATAATACACAGAATCTGCAGACTGAGGTAGATGGGAAGTTTGCTAAGTATTATGACTCATATTAGCCGATTTGCGCCAGGAGATATGACTTGCATAAAAGCTTCCTCACTGATCAGTACTCATGAATGTCTCCATACAAAAATCTGAGTATCACACCTGCTTCTGTCCACAGCGTCACAGATACTAGGTGCAGGTGCTAATGCTATGCAGCAATATTCTAGCCTGAGTCATCAAACTCATAACACTGCACTTTGCCAGTTTTCCTCTTTGTAAGAGTGTATTCTTATTAAAGTGTGTATCAGTCCCACTGTTTTTTACATTTATTCTCTCAACTCCGGTCATTATCATCTAGGTGTTAGTATTAGTTTTACCAATCAGTCAGCTATAAAACACTAACACATTAACAAGCCCAGAGCAAGGAGATGCACATAGTCAGCTCACTTCTGACTATCAATACACTTGCTGCAGAGTAACTTTTATATAGAGGGCTGTACTCAAAGATCTAGAAGCCTGAGGCTGTGCCCACTCATGGTGCCTCTTGTTTCTTGATATATAACTGCAGGTTTACTACAACTTGCTGGAGTCAACGCACAATGGAAGACCTACACATTTAGGCTGAAGGATATTCTCCCTTACAATCTGTGCTTGTCCAACTGAAAACACTGTCATTGCACTGATGGTGTAACAAAACTTGACATTCTAGAATAAGTTAGGGTGAAGTGTTGCTACTATTTTAAAGGGGAAATTTGAAATTGAGGCTGACCTATAAAATGAATGTAGTAGGATACCTAACAAGAGATGTTCTTTTGAT